CCGGCTGGCTCAGGGGGATGGAGCACGTGGGGGGCCGTTACCATGAGGACGCTCAGCATCATGTCGTAGTTGTTGATGAGGAAGATGAGCTGCTCCTTCCGCGAGGAGAACTCAGCCGCCACCCGCAGCACGAAGTTCTCCACCTCCACCTGGGGCAGAGCCAGAGCTGAGGGGCCGAGCCAGTCACCCCTGTGCCCCAGGACTCCTGGGTCCCCTGGCTGGGTGTGCCCCACCCCCAGGGGCCTGAGGGAGCCCAGCTCCCCCCAGCTGCAGGACTCCCTTCCCCTGGTACCCATAGCCCTCTGGCAGCATAGGGCCCACCCTGGTATCCACTGCACCCCCCATTGTGCTGTGTCCCCCCCAGCAGGGCAGGGCCCCCCGTACCTGCAGCTGCCCCAGCAGCGTGTGGGTTCGCTCGTTGGGGAAGGTCTGGTTGATGCTGACAATGGCAGAGGAGAACTCCGCATAGCGCCGCGTGATCTGGGAGGATACAGGGGGTGTGTGTGAGGGCACAGCAGGGTTCCCAGGGACCCCCAGACACTGCTCCCCTGGAGTTCCCTGACCTCCACCCGACACCTCAACCCCCCCAAACTACTCACCCTGCCCTAGGCCAGCCCCCCCACTCCTCCGACAGCCCTAGCCCCCCTCGCCCCATATGAGCGCCCACTAACTCCCCACACCCTGCAAAGCCCCCCCCCAACACTACCCCCCCTTCCCAGGGTGAGCCCCACCCCCATCCCCCCTCCCCCCAGCGCCCCTCCCCCCTACGTAGTGGGGGCGCGTGTCCAGGAAGCCCAGTTTCTGGGGGTCCGTGTTCTGGATGCTCTGGATGTTCAGCTCCAGGATGTACTCGAACCGTGGCCACAGGATCTCCAGCAGCGTGTCCCAGTACCTGGGGGGAGCCGGAGGCCTGGGTTCTCTCCTGGATCTGGGCGGGCAGTGGGGCCCAGTGGTCAGAGCAGGGGGCTGGGAGCTGGGACTCCTGGGTTCTAGCCCCAGCTCTGGGAGGGGAGTGGGGTCTAGTGGGCTGGGGGGGGGGGA